CCCCTCGCAGCGGGTAGGCGCGGAAGCTCCGCCCACCTCCCCAGCCCACCGCCGCCGGGGTTCGCGGTGCTTTCCGCCAACTGACACCACGGGGCCGGGGGCAGCGCAGGGGGGGGGCAACAGGCCTTCCCCCCCGACCCTTGCCGGTCATCTCCCCTCCTTCCACCACGCTGTGTAAGCTGATCTCATCGGTCGTAACTGATGTTTATTTTTTTCCAAAAAAGCCAAACTGAGAAGTGTATACGTAAGTACATCGACTTTCTTAGAAAAATAAAAAAGCAAGCCCCTACACCGCTCGGCAAAATAAAGCTGAAGATATACGTAGAAAGAACATTTATGTTTTAGGAACCTTCCCTCGACATTTTAAGTTCCCAAATATATCAAAACACACTAAAAAAAACAAGTAGTTGAAGGCTCAAGCGTTCCTGCTCTTTCTGGGAAGCTGTGGGTGGCTCTGAAAAGAGCCTTTGGGTTATTTGTTGAAATAAAGAGTTTTTACTTGGCTTTAGCCTTGTGGCTGTCGGTCTTCTTGGGCAGCAGCACGGCCTGGATGTTGGGCAGCACCCCGCCCTGCGCGATCGTCACCTTGCCCAGCAGCTTGTTGAGCTCCTCGTCGTTGCGGATGGCCAGCTGCAGGTGGCGGGGGATGATGCGCGTCTTCTTGTTGTCGCGGGCCGCGTTGCCCGCCAGCTCCAGGATCTCGGCCGTCAGGTACTCCAGCACGGCCGCCAGGTACACCGGGGCGCCGGCGCCCACCCGCTCCGCGTAGTTGCCCTTGCGCAGCAGCCGGTGCACGCGGCCCACGGGGAACTGCAGCCCGGCCCGCGACGAGCGCGACTTGGCCTTGGCGCGCGCCTTCCCGCCCTGCTTCCCGCGGCCCGACATGTCGCAAACGAGAAGTTAAAAAAAAAAAAAGATAAACAAAACCACAAAAAAAGCTGCTAAAACAAGAGAAATGCAGCAAGGGCCGCCACCCTGCCTTTTTATCCCTTCCTTCTGGGGATCGGTGGGACTTCTGATTGGCGGAGGCCGCGATTGTGAAGTGAACCAATGGGAAGGCAGATGAAACCGCCACCAATCGAAGGTGCTGGATGGTGTGACATCACCGTTCCGGATTGTCCAATAGAATTGACCAGCCTGGAGTCATCTCATTTGCATGCCGTCCCTATAAATACGGGTGTCGCCGCTATTGTATTTACGTCGTTCCTGCGCTATACAGGTACTGACAGACTTGTAAAATGCCGGAACCAGCTAAATCCGCTCCTGCTCCGAAGAAGGGCTCTAAGAAGGCCGTCACCAAGACGCAGAAGAAAGGTGACAAGAAACGTAGAAAGACTCGCAAGGAGAGCTACTCCATCTACGTGTACAAGGTGCTGAAGCAGGTGCACCCCGACACGGGCATCTCGTCCAAGGCCATGGGCATCATGAACTCCTTCGTCAACGACATCTTCGAGCGCATCGCCGGCGAGGCCTCGCGCCTGGCGCACTACAACAAGCGCTCCACCATCACCTCGCGGGAGATCCAGACGGCCGTGCGGCTCCTGCTGCCCGGCGAGCTGGCCAAGCACGCCGTCTCCGAGGGCACCAAGGCTGTCACCAAGTACACCAGCTCCAAGTAGAGCCTCTCGCGCCGCCAGTTTTAACCCAAAGGCTCTTTTAAGAGCCACCCACGCATTCACTAAAAGAGTCGTTTACACTTTCGCTTCGGTGAGTGGTACTTGTGTTTGGCACTGTTTTAGTTCCCAGACTAGCACGTACTGTATAAATGGTGAAAATGTTTATCATATTGAAAGTACTGGGGGGTTTTGATTGTCCTGTACGTGCCCAACCCCGACTGTTCATCGGGTACGTCTATAAAAAGCATGTTAAGCACATAATTAACTTCGAAGGCTATTAAAGTTTTCCTTCCTCATTTTAAAGCAATTACCTCAGCTGTAGATTTAAGTACAGAGAAATATGTGCGGCAGTGTTTAAAGTGTCCCTTTTTTATGGCAGTCTGATATGAAATAAAGCAGGGTTTTTTACAATAGCAGCCTTATTATAACACCATTTATGCCTTTTCCTAATTAAATGTCGTCTCTTTTAAACATCAGCTGTCAGTCTCACGACCTGGCCGTAAGCCAGAGCGGCTTGTTTACGTGAAGGGCTCCATAGGGATTAGCCGGTTTATGCGTGATATTTGGAAGAGAGCGTTTCACGAAATTTATCACGCCGTGCCGAGCGGAAGTGAAATGGTGCTGAGAATAATATAATTTCATTAGTCCCGGAGGTTTCGTATGGAAGTGGCGTAGTTTTTTTCAGTCGTCTAATTGATGGAGAATAAGCACGGCAAAGGTTGGTCATAAGTATTGACAACATGATAGGAAATCCAAGGAAAAAATAAGGGGAGCTTTAAAAAAAAAAAGAATTTATCGAACTTGAGGTGGCGCAGGATGCGTAAGGAAGGCTGTTTTTCCGAAAAAGCCTTCTGTAAGGGTGGGGTAGGGTGAAATCCCCTCCGCCCGGGACAGAGGCGGCGAAAGAAGCGTGTCCGTGGCGGGGTCGCTGTAAAAGCTCCGAAAAAAAAAAAGGCGCTACTTCTCCCTGGAAAGGGCCGGGGCTCGGGGCGCTTTCAGCTACCGCCTTGATTACAGGATGTTCCGAAATAACCAATTAAATTCTTTGCTTTTTCGACCAATCAGAGGCGGGAGGGTGGGGCCGCTACTCAGTATAAATAGGAGTCGCAACATGCATCATTTTTCTCTGTGGCTGAAGGACCGTTCTTACCGATGGCGCGCACAAAGCAGACGGCGCGTAAGTCGACGGGCGGGAAGGCGCCCCGCAAGCAGCTGGCCACCAAGGCGGCCCGCAAGAGCGCGCCGGCCACGGGCGGCGTGAAGAAGCCGCACCGGTACCGGCCCGGCACGGTGGCGCTGCGCGAGATCCGGCGCTACCAGAAGTCGACGGAGCTGCTGATCCGCAAGCTGCCCTTCCAGCGCCTGGTGCGGGAGATCGCGCAGGACTTCAAGACCGACCTGCGCTTCCAGAGCTCGGCCGTGATGGCGCTGCAGGAGGCGAGCGAGGCCTACCTGGTGGGGCTCTTCGAGGACACCAACCTCTGCGCCATCCACGCCAAGCGCGTCACCATCATGCCCAAGGACATCCAGCTGGCCCGGCGCATCCGCGGCGAGCGCGCTTAAGTTTCTAGCGAACGGATCTTCCAGATGATCGAAAACCCAAAGGCTCTTTTAAGAGCCACCACATAGCCACGAAAGAGCTGTAAACTTATCTCTGTAGGAAGCGACGTGTTTCCAGGTGCTTTTCGGGTACTTTTACGGTGACCGAGAGCCTGTGTCTTATCGAGTAAGTACGAAATGTGTAAGTCCCGTTTCAGAGTGGTCTAAAAGGATCCTGAGTGTAGCAAAACAGTACGGTGTGGGGTTAATGCGATCGTGCTGGGACAAATCTTTTGGTGTGAAAATTGCTTTTTATGCATGTCCTCAGAGGACTGGTTAACTGTTAAAGAAAAATATTCTGGGCCTTTCCTTTTCTGAAGGAGAATATACCCCGTCGCTAAAAGGCTCCTAAATATTTTTGCTAAATGTTTGCGTCTAAAAAATCATATAACAACTCCTTTAATTCGTAAAGGTGGCTACAGAACTTCATTTTCCTTTAGAGAAGATGTATTCAGGGATTAAGGGTACCGTAAACGCCTCTGGTTCTGCTGCGGTCACTTCGTGTTCTTATAGTAACGACGTTACAATTTACTGTTCTGACAGAAATTGTTTTCCAAACCCTTTTTTGGGGGGGGAGCGAGGGGGGGTGGGGGTGGTGGTGATGGAAGGCATTTTGTTTCTGAAGGAGCAAAGAAGTCCTTTCCCGCCCTTCCAGCAAAGGCAGTCGGTCGGTGATTCTCACAGTGATTTTATCACTCCTGGCCTGATTGTCCCTGTCGCAGACGACGTTCCCTGCGCATCTTCAGGCCTTCCCAAGGTCTTCTCCTTCATTCCTGAGATAAATGTTGTATTTCCAGAGAGAGCTGGGGGTAGGGCGCTGGCAAGGTTACTTTCAGCGACTCCGTTTTTTGAAGGAGTTGTCTTTTTCTAGGACATCCTTTATGGTTTTCGGTATCTCGGCTGAATGATTAGAGACCCCCATTTGGATAAATTTTCTCCATCTGTGTTTATGCTCCCGGTAATATTCCTGGACTAAGCACGGAGGAAGTGTTTTCCCAGCAGTATTTTTTGATTAAAAACTTGACATCGAGATCAGAATTATTGTTAGATGGAGATTTTTCCTTATCTCTTCTATTTAGTGATATTTTTTTTTGTGAAATTACCTGAAAAACGAGGTTTCTTATTGACCATACGTTCAGCTGCACTGTCTCTTGCCCTCCTACTCAATAGATCTGTAATCAGTACCTGAAAAATGTAGGTTTCAAACACTTCCTCTCGCATCCCATCGCCTTTCTTTTTCTATGCTGCGGGCCTTTTTGTGTCATTTGAGGAGTTTGCTATTCCAGTGCGGTATTGGAAATACCGTCTTTTTGGTTTTTCAGTGCTACAAAGGAGTAGCTGTGCCTTTAAGAAGCTGTTGCACTGCGTTGAATACAGCTTTCGTTTAATCTTCAGAAACAAGGAGCCACACAGAATTGCTTAGAGGAAATATTGCTTTCGAAAGCCTTAAAACTGCAATGCTCCCGGCTTTCTGCTGTATGTTTCATCTTAAGAAATTTTCCTTTCTCTGTGTCAGGAACTTGGACTCTGCAGCAAAATCTGACCAATCAAGTGCCTCCATACACCATTTTCTTTCCCTTGTTTTTCTCACTTTCAGCCATTTTCTGTTACTTAACCTTGGGGGGGGGGGGGGTAAAAGGGAGGAGGGAAGGTATCAGGAACAGTACTTTTGGAATTAAGGTGTGCTTTTTTTTTTTTTTTTTCTCCAGTACGTGATTACCAGTGTGATTGCAGAAATTAATCTTAGTGAAAGTGTATTGATTTTTCTGTTACTATTTGTGTCAGTAAGACATCTATTTATTTCTCTAAACTGTTTACATATGCTTATGAGAAGTTTAGTAATAATTAAATCAAGTAAACCAGCTAGTCTTAATATTTTATGTAGTGGATATCTAATAACTTAAATAAGCCAAGGGTCAGAATACTTACATTTCAGCGTGGAGTGAAAAAAAAAATTACAAGCTTTAATGTTTTTTTTGTTTTCAAGTTCAAGAAATAAATGGCTTTTGAGCAGTGAGAAAGGGAAACGGTTTATATTTGTCTTAATTGCTCTCACTTTTCTTCTAGTCTTTTGAAGACCTCGGACTTTTAATAAATACAGTATTACTTGGACTCATTTTGAGAGTTGTATGCTTGAATTGTAAATAACTAACACCTATCAGCTGAGAGGGAAGTAGATGTACAAAGATTTTGTTTGTGTTTGGTTTGATTTTATTATTATTTTGTTTTGCAGGAAGCTTGAACTAAAGCATAATGTCTGAGTCTGAAGTAGTTTTGGGGTGTAATACATTATGAAAGGACACTAATAATACTTTCTTGTAGCTTGTCTTAGTGGACCAATTAAGAAGACTTTACTGTGTGGATTTTGAAGACTGTAAGAGCTGCAGATGGTTGCAAATAGTGCTATGGTGAACTCGGTGGCAGACTGACTGCAGTTTATGCAGTGGGCTTTGCTCTTCCTTCCTTATGCAAGTGATAAATCCTATCTGGAATCCTACCAGTTTGCGTACAGTGTTGAATCATTTAACTATAAAGGAGCAAGAGCAAGAAATCCCAAAACAGACGTAGGCTGGGGGAAAATTCTGTTCATAAGTAATGAATAAGAACTGATATCAAGAGTGTTTGATAAAGTTTGGATTGTGGGGTTTTTTTTCTTTTTGAGTAAAGATAAATTAATTGAGGACTTGAAAGACATCTTGCACTTGCTATAAAATTCAGAGAGAATCTGAATATCAGTTAAATCTGATAAGGAATAATCGTGGAAGGTATTTGCTAACACAAAACCAAAAACCCCTCAAAGACAGCACAAAATAAAACTGAATTTGCCATAAATAGTTGGTTTGATGTTAAATTTGTTTAGTCTAAACCACACAGGTAACTTAGTGCGCGATTTCTTACTCAAAGGAAGAGTAAAAGTCCTCTGGTTACCAGCAAGGTGGAGAAACACTTTTGTGCATTTTGCAGGAGAGCCTGAGGTAAGGAATGCTGCCAGGTAGGAGCTGGTTCTGTCCAAGACCAGTGTGTGGAGTAGCTGAGGAAAGGCGAGCTGCTGGTGCTTTGCTCTGTGTGGCTTTTGGTAATCATGTAAGGTGCTTTTGCAGGTGATCTTAGATGCTCAGCGAGATATTTGGTTAAGGCTGTTCCTGGCTGTTTTGCCCTCGTCTAGTGCAGTGCCAGATCATTTATGGTATGATCTGGCTCAAATCACTGCTTGGAAGAATGTACTCCCTATGACTCCAATGGATAAGACATAGGTCCTGGTGAAATACTTCCTTTCATCAGAAACACATAAAAGAAGGTCTGATGAAAGCATTTGTTCTAGAATAAAAAGATTTGAATCGACCCTTCTTGACGTTTGTTGTTTTCTGAAAAGCTCTAAACAGACCTATTCATATGAAAAAGAAGGGAAGTTTTTGTTAGGCTATTGTATTTCAATAGGCTATTGTAATGTAAAAAACTTGTAAAGGTGATATGGTGGTTTCCATGCAAGCCAACTTGTAAAGATAAATCCTAAACATCCTATCACGTTCTTTTAATTTGCAAATCCCTCTTCAGGGCTGCCTCACAGATGAATCGCCTGTTGTTCACAGTCTTCAGTAATCACAAACAGGGAAGTCTGATTTCGATCAGCCTCGGGTTTGCTACTGGTCTGGGCAGTGCTGCCTTGCTGCATCCCTCTCGTCCATTTTCAGGTCATGTTGTATCTTCAGCTGGGTATAAGCATCTTTCAGGTTATAGATGTACAAACATCACCGTCACAGCAGTATGAACACTTGCTAAGTTTTTATATTCTATATAAGTGAGCTTTAGGAGGTACTGTTCGTCAGCTACTGTGAAGCGATAGTCAAAAGGGAAGCTCTATTCTCAGCAAAGCTGTAACTGAAGTAAAAATGACAAATAATAAGGCAACCTACTTGAGGAACATGATATACAAACCCAACTCAAATTTAATTAAAAAAAAAACAACAACATCAAACAACTCAAAACCAACAAAAACCAACTGGTAGTCGAAAACTGTAAAGTCAATTTGATACTTTGGATTTAGGAGGCAAACTCTTCTAACTATAAAACGGTGGTATTAGTGCTGTCTATATTGTGAAAGATGTGTTGCCCTCGAAGTTCTAAAACTGGGTCCAAAAAACATTTCTACACCTTTTTAAAAGTTGGGAAAATATACCACCGTATAGACCACAAAGAACTGTAACACATACTGCTTGCCAGCACATAAAGTTCTTTGTAATGTGAAGTCCAGGAGATGAGACACTTCTAGCCTTTTTAATTTCCTTTAGACTAATTGATTATAGGACAGCAGTGTGGTAAAGTGCCAAAGCATCCAGGCTGCAGCCTGTGGGAAAACTCCCAACTTCCCACTGCAGGAGTGCCCTAGGTGACAGGACAGAGCTGCAGTGTGCAGCAGCGTTACAAAGGCGACTGTCCTGACTTAGGGTGAACACTTCATTATTCTGCAACTGCTAAACCCTGAAGCCTTAACCTCTCTCAGAAAAGAGCGGTGACCTTTACCACTCTGATGGGTACTCATACAATATTAACTGAAATAGTGAACTGTAAAAAAAAAAAAAATAAATAAAAAAATCGCATTTATCCAGAAATGTGGGGAAAAAAAACCCAATCCACAAACCCACCACATATTCACAGAAATCTGGAAATATATAGTATATGCAAGCACCAGAAAGAAGAGCAGAAGAATAAGCTGTCAGTAGGGAGGGTGTCAGTTGCACCTATATAGTAGGTAATCAGGATCCTAAAATATTTACCTGCAGCTTGTTTAGGACACCCAGGCTGTGAAAACAAAGCACAGCATAAAACAAGGGACAGTATAACTACAGCAATTGAATGAAGATGAGAGGAAGATAACGATCAGCCCTGGACCAATAAGGCATTCGGCTATGGGAGGCAGAAGCTGGTGAGTAAATACCAATGGTGGAAGGGACAGAAGAATGGAATTGCTGTTGGCTTTTAAACTGCTCAAAGCCGAGCACATTGCAGCCAACAACCTCCCCCTCCCTGGAGACCTGCTG